TGATCTACACTAACCTTGCATAAATAAAAAAAGAGTTTAGCCTTGTATCTGAACTTCAATGTGGCTTTAGTAGTAACAACCCCCACCATTTATTTAAACCTAGTTCCTAAATGCTAAGTATTTTAGATGACAAACTCTACTCAGTCGTCCTTAAAACCCCAAGACTTACTTTTCTAGAAGGGGTTACTTGCAAACAGGGAGGTAACGCAGTGGGATGTCTTTAAAACAATAGGCACAGAGAATACCATCCATTCTTGATTTCATCAATCAATAAAAACCCATATTTGGGATACCAGCCTTCTCTCGAAACAATACTCAATTTTTTATATTAACATTATCTTAGATCCCAATTCCCTCTTTATCGAATGAAACAGACGTATGACAATAGAAGTACGCGCCTACGAGTGACTATCCTACCAAGTCAAGTTCCTTACTCTTATTAAAGGAAAAAGTTCACAAAATGCCTAGTGATTCTGCTCCTAGAAGTTATTACAACGAGTTAAGATCCTACCAAGACATAAAATGCTCTGGTGGCAGATCCTCCATAATATTTTTCCACAATTGAGTACCCGTAACTGCTACCCTAATTTTTTTTTCTTGTAGATTATTTAGACTAGATAAAGCAGATACTATACGACATCTTATTCTCAAATGTCCTGTCACTAGATTATTCTGGTTTCTCTCTCCTTGGGGCATAAAGTTCTCAACATTCCCATGCTTGTCAATGGTGGAATAGATGTCAAATCTATTACTAGATCAAGTCAATTCATCTCCCTAGGTGACTCTCTACAACTAAGTTTCCTTATATGTATCAATCATGGTAGATTTCTTGTTTTATTGGAGAAACCAAAGGCAATTTAGTGATGATATCATGCATGCAGGACAATATCACATACATTTGACCTCAACTTATAATAAGTTACTGGAGCTATATATACAGTATCAAAACTATTTTACATGAAATATTGAGGGATTGGTTCCACATATTTCCTTTGCGGAGGCCACATTTCACTATCGTTTATTTTCTTTGCGTACTTTCTCATAAGCACCTCCATCTTCTCCTCGCCCAAAAGAGGTGCACAATTAGGCTACCCCTAATTATCTAGCCCAAACTCTCTTTTGGTGGGCTATGGACCGGATTTATTTGTAAAAATAATTATCTCGTATAATATATTTCCCCTTTTTTCATAATTTATAATAATATGTATTTTTTATCAAAAAAATTGTATAGGCTTATAGGTCAAACTCAAAATAATATTTTTAACGTTGAGCTTGGATAAAAGTTTAGACTTGAATAATTGAACCATGAGCAAGTCCGTATAAATTCACATATTTCGGAATTAAGTATATTTATTCTTTGTTTTTCTAGATAGAATGTCAATACCCACTATAAATAAAACAGAAAAATATGGATATAGTTTCTATGTTTCTTTGACATGAATTTGAAATGATCAGTAAAATTTTATGAAATGAAATTTTTCTTAGATTATTATATTTATTGTAATAAGTAATATTTTTAAGTAAGAAATTAATTATTTATAACAAGACTGAAGTAACATATAAATAAACCAAATCAGGATTAAAGGTCAATAAGTTTGTGATGTGAAATTTAAACTATTACAATCCCAATTCTTAGCAGCGTTTATTTTGCAGTTCTCTACCTTATTACAATATAAACAGAGGCAGAGCTAGAAAATTATAGATACAAGATTTTTAATTAATAGAGACAAGATTTAACTCTTGTTTTTTCAGAAAAATACAATAGTTTTCATACAAACATAATATTATATGATAAGATTTGTCCATTATTGTGCTCCAACACTACTAAACATTCCCATCTGACTTATTTTATAAAAACAGAAGTAACTCAATCCATTTTAACTTAAAAACTTGAACCTTATTCACATATTAATACTTATAAAACTTGAATGAATCTTCTGTTTATGGATCAAGTTTTTCCAGTAGGGGCAATGAGCAAAAGAGCTCCTTCGCTTGGTAGTTAGATATTCCTGCAGAATTAACAATGTAGGCACTTTTAGAAACATAATATTAAACATACAAGCAAATTCTAGCAGGTTTCCAAGGAGGTCAGCTCTTCTGAACTCCACTTGGCCATGTCAGATTCTTTACAGGTTTGAGGATGGCTTCGACCTCTGCTAGTGTCTCACTGTCTACACCAAATTGCAAAAAGCTCTGTAGCAGCTCTAACATTTTCCTCCACCTGATTATCAAAATGCATTATCTTACAATAGTTCAGGATGCATATTCTTGAAAAATATAAATCTGTCAAACAACTTTTGCATATTTTTCTTTTTTTCATAAATATGTTTGCTCTGAATCGTGGATTTCATTGTGCTGACATGGAGTACATTTTATTAGCACCGTAAACACACCAGGCAAAAGAGCATTTTAATGGCACTAGTTGACCAATAGCCAGCAGTTTGCTCCCTTTTCAGTCAGTCTAATGGGAAAAGAACATTGCTTCTTTTTTTTTTATGATACTTACAATTGGCTACGATTACCAACATGTTGATAGGTAAGTTACATGCTGAGTACACCAATTAGCCTAAAAATGCTATTAGCTGTATGCATAGTGATGGTTGTCCATGGTGATGTAGCCAAACACCCTATGACCAAAAGATAGGAAGGATACAACTAAATCTACTAAATATAACATATGATACAGGAGGAATCCTATATAGACTATGGGAATAGGTTATACATATTTGGAGTTGAAGGAGCAGAAGTTAACTAGAGAACCAAAGGGAGGCAAATATTGACTTTAAATGTGTTTTATCATCGCTAAATGCAATTAACAGATGATAGATTAGTAATGAGCAAAAAATAAATAAGAGAGAAATAGGTGTATCATAAAATAACCATTAAAAGAAGTTAAAAGGCAAGCATAACAAAAGAATCAAATTTGGTAAGAGGTCGTTTACTGTCTATATTTTCATGTCACCAGAAACACTATTTGGTTGTAAAAGATGCTTGTAAGAGGTCATTTATTATCTGTTTTCGTGCAGACACAAAATTAAGAAGCTAGATTTTTTTTTTTTGCCCTTTTTGCTTCGTGCAGTAAACATACAGTCAAAACTCAAGACAATGTGAATTCTATCAGGTATGCTTATATCAATAGATGATGATAAAGGCCCAGGCAGTGTGGCTGCTGGTATTGCTCCCGCTAAAAAAATTCAAAAACCTGGGTTCTATACCATACCACCCAACTTTTGCCATTTGGCTTGTCTCCCTGGTGACAGGCTCCCAACCAAAAGAAAATGATGTATTTTTAATTGATTAATAAACCCAAAAGATAAATTGATCAGAAGGAACCTACTTAATTATTGATATAATTCTTATTTCAAAAATATTATTCATAATTCAACATTAATTCTAATGCATAAAGCCATCAGCCTTAAAGCACAGAAAGTTCTTAAGTTAAACACAAGTCAGCATTCGACCTTATTATATCTAGTTATATATTTATATCATATGAAAAAAATTAAATTAACCAATTATCTCCCAAGCCGTTTAACAGAGTTCATGCCGGTTGACAAGGTAGAGAAAATCAGAGAATTAAGAAAGTGATAAAATTGGAACCTGTTTAATAGAATTCATGCCAACCAACACTGTAGAAATATCCTTGTTTAACAAGCTGTATTGCATAGCTAACTTTGAAATATTCTTTCCTTTCTCTTTACAGTAGGAAGCAGCACTTTGGCATGCAGACTGTCAGGAAAACAAAGTGCACAGATTGTTAATCAAAATTCAAAAGAAAGAAAGATCTTATATGTTTACAAAATAACTGGAGCCATAATTTGCAAATTTGCATGTAAGTTTATTCCAGCCAAAAACATTGATTTTTTCCCAACCTTTTCTTTTTGCGTGCAAGATGCACCCGGTCAATTTATCCTCTCTTTCTCTCAATCACAACCTCTATCTCTTCCATTCTTCCCTTTTTGTATAGATGATTAAATCATCTTACTACAAATCAATGATAGGCCCAAATCCTCATTGGATGAAAACCTACCAAACAGTGGTCAGCACTTCAGAAGCAACTCTTTTTAAAACAAAACTAATCAACAAAATTTAGGAACAATTTTGATTCCTTGAAAATGTATTTTTGGATGGAAGTCCATTTTTAGTAGAATTTTGATAAAGCTGTCTTGGTTGTTTCTATTCCTTCACAAATAGAACTTTAAGGTTATAAGTAGCTTGTGTTAATTTATACGTTTTCCATCACAGGCCAGCTTAGAAGAGCTTTGAGCATGTACTTAGGTGGGTCAATGCACAGACCTTTTACTTATCTGATGGATCTTTGTATACTACCTCGGAAACATATCTAACTAAGATAACAAAAAGAAAACCAGTATATCAGGTCTTTAACATAGCGACAAATCTAAGAAAAAGAAAAAAGAATTTGCACATATTCAATGCTAAAAACACACACCTTAAGCTCAGATGATGCAGGATGCCACTCTGGAGGACCAGACTCTGTAAGGAGTCCCATTGCTAGTGGAGAAGCACTGATTATACCAACACCCTTACTCTTCAAGTAAGGTAATAAATCCTCCAATGTTGAATCATTAATACTATAGTGGCAATATGACAAAATCACATCAATTGTGCCTGGTGGCACCCGATCAAGCACATATGTGAAAATGTCTAATGGAAGCCCAGTGATACCAATGAAACGAGTCTTCCCTGCTTCCTTCAGTTTCTGGAGGGCAGGGATTGTCTCACTCACTATCTGTTAGCAAAACAAAAAACTTTATGAGTTAGGACAGAAAACTTGAAAAAAATACATGAAAGTGAATAGCTAAAATCATGTTAAAAAGAGATTAAAATAAACTGAACTAAAACCATTAAAGCTTGTTAAAAGAATATGTACTAGGGACCTGATCAAGAGACCCAAATTCAATGTCATGGCAATGCAGTATATCAACATAATCAAGCTGCAACCTTGCCAAGCTCTCATCAATACTCCTAGTCACTCTCTCAGCACTGAAGTCGAAACCCTCAACATAGCGTCCACACTTTGTTGACACGATATACTCATTTCTAGGTACTCCTAGAGCTTTAAGTCCCTTACCGAGCACCTTTTCCGATAGTGTTCCTCCATAGAACCTTTAAAAGTAAGAAAGGAGAAACACAAAGTAAAAACAAAGCTAAAATAGTGATATGATTTACGAGAGAGATACTGCAGGATAAATCTGTTGAAGCCAGGTCAAGCATGTATGCAGTTATAGACAAAAAGATTATATTAAAACCAGAAGCAATGCACATTCTTAAGAATAAAAAATATATTAATTGACTTTAAATCATATTATTATCTACTTAATTCCTCAAAAAATTTAAGAAAACTTTTAAATAATGAAGTGAACATAGAATTCTATGAATGTTCTGCCATCCAAAATAACATAACAACATTTGCAATAGGCTTGCTTGCAGGAATTAGATTTCTGATTTCTTATGCTCTAGGAAAAAAAGTCTAGCAGTCAGGCTCTCTACAACTCATTATTAAAAATTCTAAGATATGAAATGCACACTTTTTATATTTTATCTGAAACACAAAGATGCAATGATCCATGGAAAGAAAAGTGAGCTCTGTTACCCTTCATTTTCATTTGCTCTAACTACATGAATTCCCTGAAATCCCAAATGTTTCAATGTCTCAAACTAAAACCAAACTTTCCGAATTCCTCAACAATGTAAAACCCCACATCTCAAATGAGTTCATTCAACATCATTTGCATCCACCGCAACTCCATGTCTAATCGTTTTCAGATAATTTCTTAACTAGCCAGAATAAGACAGAACATAACGTATCCCAAACATTATTGGAATGTATTTAAACCATGAGGTTATCCAAGTTAAAAATTATCTAAAATACCAGGCACAGCTTAGTTTTATTGACGTTTTCGAAAAAAAAAACAAAAACAAATCAAAAGATGTCCAAGTTTCACTTAGTGCAGATCATACTTACCTAACGTACTCCAGTACTAACTTATGTGTTTTTATAAGCAATTAGACATACTTTTGTAGATAATCAGTAAGAAACCCAAGAAGGTCAATTATAGAGAACCAAAAAGTTCTTTTCTCCCCTCTCTCTATACATTTCCTTGTAACCAAACAGAAGCAAACAAAAATAAACGTCTTCAACGACATTAATGAGAAGTTTACTGAAAACAAAAATGGATGGAGGAAATAGAGGTACGGCGAGGTATCGAAGAAATTGATGCCGAGACGGAAGGCTTCACGGACGGAGGCGATCCCGTCGTCTTCAGAAACGGGACCAAAGACACGGCCAAGGGGAGATGCTCCGAAGCCTACAAAGCTGAGCTGTAGGCCCGTCTGCCCTAAGATTCGGTACTCCAGCTTCGTGATTGGAGAAGCCATTGGACGATAAAGGCTGCTTCTTTGATAGGAATGTGTTTGGATAAATTGTTGAAAAGAATTCTGGAGTAATTTTAATTAACTGAGCCAGTGGCGGGTAATTTTAATTAATATCAATATTAATACAATTTTTATTAAAAAAACATAAGAAAATAATACAATTTTCATCTGGAAAGTCGGTAAATCACTGATCGTGGTATTTAATTTATTTAAATTAATAATTTAACTCATCACAGAATTATAATAATTAAATTAAAATAAATTTTACGAATTTTTTTTATAAAAAAAGATATTTAATAATAATTAAATTTATTTAATTAAAATAACAATAATAATTAATATAAATATAGAGAAGTGATCTAAGAATTGAATAAAGAGGGGGGAGTCTATTGGAGATGAGAGTGTTGATGGGATTAAAAATTGACTCAATTACTTTTACTTAGATAAATTTATTAAAATTTAATAATAAATAAATCAAAATTTTATTTGTTTAATTTATTTTAGTTTAAATTACAATTAAATTGAAACAAATTAGGGATCCGACAGGCATACATTAAGGCGTCTCTAAATATATGAAAGTATATAATATGTATATGCTCTCGTATCATATTCTATAATTTGTAATATGTTTATTAAAAATAATTTAATTTTATTATAATGTGCGTACACCAATTATAATATAATTTTTAACAAAAATATAATTTAATTCCAACCAACAACTTGGTGTAGTGGGAAAAAATTTTGAACCCAAAAATATTCAGTCTCGTAGTTGTAATTTTACTTATTTGGTCAGCAAATAATTGGAGAAGTCTACTTTATCTTAAAAATAATTAATTAAATAGATCATTTCAAAGATTCTATAAAAGATAATTCCATCTCATATTAATTAAGAATTATACATAGCCTCATGTGACCTATACTCAATTGGTCTATGCTTATAATTCTTTTCGGATAAATATTAAAAAAAAAAAACCATTTTGAAATATGAGAAATTAAAAAGAAGAGAGCCCAAAAAAAAAAAAAAAAGATGCAACTTCATTTTGTATATGGGTAAGAAACATGTAAAAATTTAAAACTTTGGATAAAATAGTTATAAATTAAATGCATAAACAAAATAATAGAATTAGAATTTACATTCCTTACACTATACTTTAAAATGCCCAATAGGATTTCGGGAATTTCCATTTTAAAATAACAAACGAAAATTAAAAAAATAAACGAAAGATAAATATCTAAGCAATCCTATGACGACCTTCGCTAGCTCTTGAAGGGAGTTTGAGTGGTGAACTATTCACAACCCTCTTGTTAATCGGGATCTGGATATTGATCTGTTTAATCTGAAATAGTTAATGAATGAGTGAGCTACATTAACCCAGTAAAAATATCACATTAATCACATATATAAAAAATTAATATTGGTAAAAATTAGAAAAATAACTAATGTAGCCATTAATTTAATGTAAATTCATTTACTATAAAGAAAACTATTTATTCCATATTTGTGTAACAAGTTTTTCCCAACAATAACTTATGAAAACTCATATTCATGTACTATTATTTATCACATTGAAGATAATAAGAAACAATCATTTTATATTTTTACCTACTTACCGGTACCCCTGGGGGTCCATAGAGATCTCTTCTTACTCATGAACCCAATATCCAATTAAATAGTTAACCAGCCATCTCCATATTCTGTATGGTATGAGTGCCAAATATGTCACCATCTCGATACCCCGTCCGGTATGATGGTGAACTATTTCTCCTAAATCTTACTGGTAAGGGACTTCCCAGTCCCATCCGACTGAGGTAACGTTCACGGTAGGGTTCTTTATGTACCCGGCTCGTTTGCCCTTTTCTGGGTACTCAATAAGTCTTTCCTATACAGATTTTCATTAGCATAACAATCAATTATTTAATAACCATATCTCATTTTATACTCATCGTTCACTTAAGTAACAATATAGTTTAACACAGCTAAATAACCAATGACCGGAATACTAGCACATAATGCAGGGAAAAACAAATAACAAAATAACTAAAAAGACCCTAAAAACTATCAATTGAGTTACTTACAGTATAATAATAAATAAGTATAGACAATACAGAAAAATAAATAGGAAATCGAAACGACTGTGAACTAACCGGTTCTGACTCCACTAGTAACTTGTAATTATTTTTAAGGTTCTCTAATTTTTCATAAAAACACACAATTATTAATTATTAAGCTTCAATTTGCTGTAACGGAGAAAATGGTGAGGGATTCTTACCTGTATCGGTGTTTCGGGATGCTGCGTTGTCTACTACGCTTTCTAATGGGTACCGAATTTCTTGAATTATCCCTGCGAAATCTAAAACACTTGTCACGTACCTAAAAATAATCTAGAAATCCAAAATCAGTGTCCAAAACTTGTTCCGCCCAATTTTGGAGTCCCAGCATAGTGGTGCCGCTGTGCTCTGAGGCGGCAATTTGCCTCGGCCTAGCCAGTTTTGGTCTGATTTTGGGCGATTTTGGTCGTATCCCTGCAGAAAAATATGTCAAGGGTCTCGATTGACCGAAAAATTATAGAAAATCGAACTCACCAATGGGGGGACCTTCGAGTGCAGCAGCTCTACTGGTTCTCCTTCGCAGCTGAGATTCTTTCTTCGATCAACCTGCACATAAAAAGATGGTGAACACAATGGTTAAAAAATTACGTAAAATGAGAATCGAAAGGGGCTCATTAGAAAGGTTTTGGGACTTTGGCCGAGACGGCTCTGCTGAGCTCACCTGAGATTTATGGCTCACCCGTCGTCCCTTTTGTTTCGATTGGCCATGGGGTTCTGGAATCAAATTCCGAGCAGGTAAGAGAATTTTACATTTTTGGCGATTGGAGGTGGCTCTAGTGCGGCGGCGGTCGGCTCCCTCCGACGACGACTGGCTCATCTATCCGGCGGGAGGCTGGCAGATAGGGTTCGGATTCAGTGTGATATAAAATATTTATATTCATCTTGCGTTAATCTGTACCGTTCATCGCGTTTGATCTCGACTATTCGATCACGCCTAAGGAGAAAACGAATCTAGACCATTTATCGCGATTTGATATTGACTGTCCGATCGCGTTTAAGGAAGAAATGAATCTGAACTATTCATTGCAATTTGATCTCGACCATCTGATGCATTTAAAGAGAGAACAAATTCAGGCCATCCACGCGTGCGGGATTGAACCTAAATCGTTCAATCGTGGGGTAGCGAATCACCCGTGTGGCATCTTGCGTGGCACCGATGTCAGCGTGCCTTGCCACGCGACGTACTCCAGTTCATCGAAGTTGCTGACTGAGCGGTCCTACGTGACAAACTCACAAAATTGGCCATACAGAATTTTTAACACCGATTTTGGATTTTTGGGGTATTTTTTAGGTACTTGGAGCAAGTTTAACCTTCGCAGAAAAATTTGAAAAATTTGATGACCATCAGGAGGCGCAGTAGAAAGTACGATATTTCATACACCGATTCAGGTAAGAATCTCTCACCCTATTCTCCATTATGGAATTGAAGCTTAGAAATCAATAATATGGTATTCCGTGAAATTTAGAAAACTTTAGGAATAATTACAGATCACTAATAGAGCCAGAACTAGTTAGTTATTTATTTGTCTAGTTTAACTGATTATTTGTTTGTACAACTTTAAATACATGATAATATATTAAAATAGTTAAATGATTCAGTTGTGTTTCCTTGATACATATATCACTTGTTTTGCATGATTTACGATTGATTGTGAGACGTGAAATTAATATACAAATAAAAAATTGCTTGATGATGTAAATTAATAAATGGTTGTCTTACTGGATATCCTAAGAGATGGTGGATGGACCGCGTACATAAAGAACCCTACCGTGAACGTTACCTCATACCGGATTGGGTATTGATGGATGATATTTTTTGCACTCATACCGGATAGGGTATAGGGACGGCTCGATTCACCCTCATACTGAACGGGGTATCGAGGGATGACATATTTGACACTCATATCAGACAGAGTATGAGGATGACCGGATAATTAACAAGTTTAGATATTGAGTTCACACGTATGAGGACATCCCTATGAACCCCCAGAGGTACCAGTAAGTAGATAAAAATGAAAGTTGTTGTTCTTACTCACTTGTATAAGAAATTATAATGTTATTTGAGTTATTGTCTTTATATATTGATTTTAAAAATCTCATAACGGTAAATATGTAATAAATGATTTTCTTTATGATAAATGAACTTACTTAAATTAAGAGCTCTATTAGTCGGTTTATATTTTTTTTACTAACATTCAGTTTTCATATCGGTGAGTAATATGATATTCTTATTAGGTTAGTGTACCTCACCCCTATTAATCATTTCAGATAAAGAAAATCAATATCCAAATCATAATCAGCAAGAGGTCTGTGAATAGGTATCTCCCGGATCCTATCAAGGGCTAGTGGAAGTTAACCTCCCTACAATATTTATTTACTATTTTTATATGTTTATTTCGTTTTTTTTATGAACCATTATGAAATGAACATTTTCGTAACCTTATTGGATATTCAAATTTATGTGTAAGGAATGTTAACCTTAACATTATTATACGCTTCCCCATTAACTTTATAAATTTATTTCTCTTCTAATTCCGAGTCTTTACATTAACTGTTAATTAATTTAATTCAACCTTGTTAATTTACAATTATTGGCCAAACACATGGTTATGTACAATAAACCCATTATAGGTACCATAATACACAGGCTGGCAATTACAAATCAGCAGAAATCAATACCTTTTTTAAGGGGTTAATGAATAACTAGAATCCATTTTGAATAAATTCAAAAAATTTATAAAATTTATTCATAAATTCACACATAGTTTGGTTAAGAGAGTATTATGTAAATTTTATTAGAAAATGCAATTTTTCTAAGTAAAAATTTGAAATATGTAATTTAAATTTAATTAATTTTAAGAGCTTTTCTCTTGTAACCTGCATTATTTTATTTAAACTGAATTAAGTCCAAATTAATAAATAAATCTAACATAAGTTTCTAAATTTGTTCAGAAGTTATAAAAAAAAAAATTCAAATCAATTTTTGCTTGAGGCAGATAAGTCTTCATTAACCTGTCCTGATCCTTGCTCAGACATGGGTTAGCTTACTGAACTCTTGAGTGATATACTATGTTGACTTTTCTGGAGAATATGTGTGTGTATATATCTATACGTTTGTGAACAAATATTGAAAAGAGGAAGGGAAATCGGCGTTATTTGTCGGGTCGAAACTTTTTCTTTTAATCAACCAACCTACCTTAAGGGAAATTTCAACATCTAGTTGGTGATGATCCTGCAAGAAAGTCTACAAAACAACAAAAAAGAAACAGGTGACTTGTTAAGCAATTAATTTTGTCAGCAAAGACAGGCAATTATGATTTAATATCACTGTTGTTTTGCCAATTTAGAATTTAATCCACCCATCAAAATTTTTATTCTTAATTCCCTTGAGACAAGGAAACCATGATGGTTTAACAACTATAAATAAAGAAAGTTTTGAGGTAACCCCCCCAAAAAAATAAATAAATCTCCTTGTTTGGTGGGGATTTAGGGAAAATAATCATTGAAACAAAGGTGAGGTTTCTTCACTATCATATCATGCTGCTTCTGTTTTGAGAATCTACGGGACTGTTCTTTAGATAGTTCACCTATCTCATTTGGGTTCTTAGAATTACATAACATCTTCCATGTCCTTAATGTGTTTGATGATATGTTTGTTAGAAGAAGAAATAAAAAAAAAAATGATCTTGATCATGAATTTTTCTGAACTTTGTTGCCTCTTTGTGTTCATCATGCTTAATTCATTATTAAATTTTACTCCATTTGATTACATTATAACTTGTTTAGGTGGATATCTTCAATGGAGAAATCATCTAGTAGTGGCTTATTTGAATTGGTGAGTGTCTTTTTCCAACAATTGTTTTGGGCACTACTTTTTATCTTTACAATTTCAAGAGGTTCTTGTGGTACTGTTAGAAATTTCAAGCTTAGAGAATTACTTGCAATCACAGGGAATAGAGGACTGTGGTTTTATTCATCAATGGCAAATGAACCCTCTAGATGAGCTGAGCATACTGCCATCAACAGCTGCTTTTGAAGAGAATTTGCAGCAGTACTCCTGCACTTTCCAAGCTTTCAATCTCAGACCTTCTGCTAATACTTATAACAATGGCATTGATAGACCCTCGAAACAACTGAAATCCAACAATTGGAATTCAAGTAAACCTTATCTCACATCAATCCCACAAGCTGCTGTGTCTCAAAATAGTGCTACTCTTTCCTTTGCCAATGCTAATAATCAAGTGATGAGCTTTATGAAGCCTAAGGAGGAGGCTGCAATTTGTGCGGAAAACATTCATATCCTGCCTGCTGATATACTGGCTTCTCAAGGTTCCTTTCGGAAACAAAACCATGCATTCAAGGCTTGCCAGGGAAGTAGTAACAAGAGTAGCACAAACACTGCTAGGCTTTCTCAAACACAGGATCATATTATGGCAGAAAGGAAGCGCCGGGAGAAGCTCAGCCAGAGATTCATAGCCTTGTCTGCTATAATTCCTGGCCTTAAAAAGGTAAGAAATCTTTTCCTTCCATCTTATTTTCTCCAATCAATTAAGAATATAAAAAAAATATATAATTTTATATTATCTTAAGCTTTTATAAAAGTTGATTATATCTTAATTATTTGAGATAATGTAAGGGTTAGATGTTATTAGTTTAAATATTGATAATATCTTCATCCCTCTGTTATTCACTTTTTATTATTTGTTTGCCCATCAATTGACTTTCTTATCGCCATAGGTGTACTAAGAAGATGGCATGGATACTTAGTTTTGTCATTTTCTACCAGTTTAAAGTTTTAGAAAAAAATTTCACAATCAATTTTTTAAGAGTTTTCAAATGATCTTAATGTTTAAGATTACTTCTCCCATATGATTTTCTGGTAGTCCTTAGAAAGTTGATTCACATGGCAGATGGACAAGGCTTCGGTTCTTGGAGATGCTATCAAGTATTTGAAGCAACTGCAGGAGAGAGTGAAGATTCTGGAGGAAGATACCAGGAAGAAAACCATAGAATCAGTAATCTTTGTAAAGAAATCTCAATTGTCAATGGAGAGTGATCAAAACTCTTTCTCAGACGAAAATTTCTCAAGTTGTCCCTATGATGAGCCACTGCCAGAGATTGAAGTCAGGTTTTGTGATAAGAATGTTCTGATTAGAATCCACTGTGAAAAGAGAAAAGGAGTCCTGGAGAAAACAATTGCTGAAGTTGAGAAGATCCACCTCACAATCATCAATAGCAGTCTCATGACATTTGGTAGCTCAGCTCTTGATGTTACAATTATTGCCCAGGTAATAATATAGTATGCCTTATAATTAACCTGCAATTGCATATGGTAATACATAGTTTTCAAATCTTCAAAATCTTTTGGACATTGAATTAGGCTATGGCCCCAGTGCCAGTTGTTTCTCAACCAAACAGCCAAGTCTTAAGTCTTAACCTGCAGTTGGACTAAGTTTCTATTGGTGGTCTTGGTCCTCATACCCTACTGACTTGCATAATTGGAAACTGAAAAGGAAAAAACAAATCCAGTTTATGGGTCTTTGTGGGTCTTAAATTGAAAACTGATTAGAATGGAAACTTTTTAAAATTTTTTATTGAAACTAAAACGAAAGAGAATATACCAGAGTCTGGACTGGAAATACTTGAAGTATTGTTGTTATGAGATGCTGAAAAAAACCCATTGATGGTAATCAATTTATTATGCAGATGGATGTGGAATTCAAAATGAGTGTCAAGGATCTCGTGAAGCATCTAAGATCAGTCTTTGAATTGTTGAAGTGATAGTCCTGTCTGTTTCTGTACTAGGCCTGAAAGCTTCTCAAAACCAAGAATAAAGTTGGATTAATCCTCATACAAGTCCTGTAGAGTTGCTGCACCAATCACCATGACAGATGTAGAAATTGAAGCTTGTTTGCCGTGAGTTCCATTTTTCAGGAGGGTTTCTTTGAAGAAGATTTCTTCTTTGTTTTTTCCATGGTTAATTAAATTGTTAATTACCATGTTCAACTTATCACCTGTTTAAAGTAGTGGTGATCTCACAGCTTGTATCTTGCTTTTTTTGGAAGGTTGGACCAGGTGATATCTGTATTTTGTCCCTCTTTCTTTTTCCTCCTCAAGAGTTTGTGAAAGAGGGAAGAATGATGTTTTAGCAGTGGTGTCGGGTAAAAACAGGGCTTTCTTCTCCAGCAGTTTGTTTGCTCTGTGTTGTTTTAGAAGTACCTTTAGGATTGAGATTCTGTTTTTGTACCTCTTTTTCTTTAAATTTTTTTGGGTTACCTCAATGAAATAATTTATTTAATATATTTTAATTATAAAATTTCAATAATTAAATGACATATACTTACTAATAACGACATAATTAATAATATAAAAATTTTCTAAGAACATACATAATAGATATGTATAGTTTAACTCCAAATTTACACTTTTATATAAAAAAGTGAAAGAACAAATAACACATGAGTCCTAATTTTCTAATAATCTAGTGAAATTTTATAAAATATCTAAACAAATAGTTAAGCATAATTAAAAAATTATAAATATTAATATAAATAAAATATAATTTAAAAAATTGACATAAATATACTTGATAATAAATATAAAATAATATTATAAACAATATCAAACATTTTTCAATTAACTTTGTTAATTTAAGTAGAGTTAAATATAAAAAATAAAATTTATATTAATCATACATGCAATGGAAGAGTACCTTTCCTCCATTCCCATCTCTGCCTTGTAGTACTAAATAATTTTATGTAACATCCCGAGTCGAAAACTTAGCTTAAAATGATGCAATTTATTTTTTAAAATAATAATAAAAAGTATAGGGTTTAATTTTAATTATTGTTTAAAAAATATATGTATTTTGAACAAAATTGAAAACAATTTTAAAGAAAATGGCGAAACTATAACTAAAAAAAGAATATATTTAAAAGAAAAATTTGAAAACAAACGTCAAATCGCAAAAAAGGGAAGTACAAGCCACGTAGAACAGTCACGTCAGCAGCACGATGAGTTAGGACGCACTGCGTAGCGGACACGCTGACATGGGCTCCACGTGGGCAATTCGCATGTTAGAGCAATCGAACGGCCCGTGTTCACTCTCGCATGCACAAATGGTCCAGATTGATTTTCCGGATAAGTGCAATTGAGCGGTCCACACGTCTTCTATCGAACGACCTAGATTTGTTTCCCTAATAAACAAGATCGAACAACTGAAGATGATCCACGCAGACCAGATAGACAGCCCAAATCGAGGGGAAGGGGGTATTTAAGCATCTCTTTAAACAAACTCTAACCCTAGTAGACACACA